GGGGTGAAAGAGTGACTAGGGCGTACACGGTAGAGGTGCAGACCGCTAGTGTCTTTTACTCACGCAGAGTCTTATCCTCTTAGGTCCATTGACCCTCTCTTGAGCCTTGTAGCAGTCAAGCATGGACACACTATATCAGCTGTTGGAGTGGAACCCTGTACAGGAGGCTCTACTTTTCAGCAGGCACAAGATTCATGTCCACTTCTAGCTGATTGCGTATGTCGCATACTCTTTTTCTACTGCAAGGCTAAAACAGTCCAGCTAGCTCTGACAACTTAAAAGGAAACTACGGTGCCATGTACTTACCTAATCCGGTGTGTTTCACACTTCAGAGAAAGTAATCTCATAGCTACTAAATACAGTGAGGGAGCAATAGCTGACTCACCTCAAGTACAAAATCAATTCGATAATGTACCTCGGCTGGAGACTGTACTTTTCGCTGGCGGAGATACCATGTACCGGCGCTCACTAGCTCTTTAGGGCCTGAGCTAAATCAAACCAAAAAGGGAAAGCGGCTTCTTACACAGAGACCTATAAAAGAATCAAACGACACTCGCGTAACAAAGAACTAAAAATTCAAGACCGCACAATGCAATGAATTAAGATGCCTTGCAAAATGCAAGGAGCGTACGGTCCGAGGAATAATCTTCTCGTGACGTGGTCTCGACCGCTTTCATTCACAGACAAATAAACTGCATCAAAAGGACTCTCTTTCACATTCACATCAAAACACAAGAAGGAGATACCGGCAAATGTATGTACAAAAATCTTGCACTACAATTGCAAATCATGAAATGACTTAATCATCAACCATGACTGGTTGTCCATTAGAGGTCATCTCAGAAAAGCGACTGTGATAGATATCATCAGTTATACAAAACTGTCCATACCTATCTACATGCTAAGGCGTATAAACCTGGAATGCAGGAGTATCTTCTTTGATAAAAAGTTTCTCCTGGTTCGAAACCAGAGTTCATAAAAACTTTAGCATGGCAATTTAAAGTCTAATGATGGCTAGGAAGTGAAGATACTTCTGGTTACAGTTGATACCTTGCTTCCAGGCTTGACTTTAAATTTCAGCCTTCGCTCAGGAATTATGCCGCTGCAAACGATGAAGTTGCTTGATCAGAAGTTGGCGGCCTTCCTTTCTTTCTATTCTGCTTTTGTCTCTCCTTCCTCCGCATGTTCGCTTCTTGAAGCGTTGCTGCTGTGCGATACTGTCTTCTGTCTCCAGATGAAAGGGAAGCTGGTCTGAGTGAAATAAACATTGGACCATGACTATCCTCGTCAGTGGGCCTTGAGCACATAACCTCTGCGTCAATCATAGCAAAGTTCTCTGAAAAATTACAGATGAACTCCTTCGTGCTCACTGTGGAATTTTCATATTCCTCTTCACTCATTGAATGACCCCATTCAACAATGGTAGACAAACATGTATCGCCAAGCCTTGATCCTTGGTATTCTTCCTTTTCAACAGTAGAGTATTCTTCCCAGAGTTTGTCAAAGTAATCTTCACACTTCTTGAGGACCTGTGAAGTTGAACTGTAAAAAGTTCTGGGAATAGGTGCTTTGATACCAGGATCTGCTTGTACGCGAGCTTCTGAAAACCTGCGGATCCAATGCTGCATGGTGCTGTAATAGTAGTTCGCCATTGGCTGCCTTTTGTACCCAGACATTCTGTAGGCCAAACTATTTGCATCACCAGAAATGATGTCCACCTCATAGACAAAACACTCGTAAAGCATCAATGCTGTCTGTTCTCCTGTCAGTAGGTGGGCATCCACAGCACGGTGTGTATCAACATGATAATTACAGACTCTGATGGTATGCATGTTCGCTCGAGTAAGTGGAACACGCTTGTCCTCTGGACCATAGTCATCAAATTCAAAGTCTGCATCCTTGAAATCTTGACGAGGCCTTGTTTCTCCAAAACAAATCTCGTAGATAGCCCAAGTTACATCACGCTGTTCACAGTGACCAAGTTCTTGATCATGTCCAGCAATGATCTTGACATATCCACCTGGTGCCAATCTAGCCATCACTGCAAGATTCTCCCAATCATTGAAACAAACTGTCCAATTCTTTTGCTCAATAAATTCCTTGGCAGGAACAAGAAGATGAGCTTCCTG